GACTAAAGTGGGTCAGAGACCTAAAGGTAAAACCCCAAACCATAAAGATCATAACAGACAAAATTAGAACACATTTAGAAGCCCTAGCCTATGGCATAAATAGGCTTTCAAACATACCCCAAAAGATGTAACTAGGAGAGGATAAATTGACAAATAGAATCTTCTTAAAGTAAAATCTCTGTATGTATCAAAACCTTTCTCCCATAGGATTAAAAGAAAGGCCACACACTGGGAAACAACACTTGACAACATTTCAGATCAAGGTCTAGATGGAATTAAGGCTAAAGTTTATAGAATGCCATAGAACCTCCACAAGAAAAAGACAGATAACTCAATCACAAAATAGGTAAAAGATAATAAAAGACTCTTCACAAAAGAGGACATTCAGATAGGTAACAAACACATGAAGAAATGGTCAAAATTACTAGCAACCAGAGAGATGTAAATCTAAACAACAATGAGACACCATTTCATCCCAGCAGCAATAGCGAAGTTTAACAACACAGGAAAGAATAAACATTAGAGAGGATGTAGAAAGATTGCTAGTGGGATTATAAAAGGAGATAACTGCTATGGAAAGCAGTTTAGCATTTCCTCAAAAAGCTGAATGTGGAAATCTCATATGCCCCAACTATTTCACTGATAGAAATATATCCCAAGGAAATCAGAACTGAGACACTAATGGAGAGATGCACTCCTATCTTCATAATAGCATTATTCACAATAACTAACAAAGGAAACAGTCTAAATGCCTACCACCAAATGAATAGCTTGAGAAATGTTTATACCCATACAATGGAATATTATGCATTACTAAGGACAAACAACATTGTTAAATCATTTATAACATGAGAGAGTATAGAGAGTATTATGCTGAGTTAAATAACTGCATCTTATAAGGACAAATACTGCATTTGTGAAACTAAGATAACTGAGCAAAATGTGTCAAGGTTTAAAAGAGGAGGGGGGGAGGAGAAAGGACAGACAAAAAGAAAGAGGGGAAATTACTGGGATAGCAGAGGATGGTGGACAAGGAGGGTGTGAAGGAATAGGAAACATTCAGTGGGGACTTAGAAAGACAGGATGTCTTTCTTAAAAATAGGTTTGAAGCATTTGAATACCAATGATAGAAGACCAGATGAGTTATGGGATGATATCAAAGATACCATCCATGAATAAAGCAAAAGGTGATTACAAAGACAGAAGAGAAAGAAAAAAAACAAAATGAATGTCAGAAGAGACTCTGAAGATTACACTAGAGCATAGAGCAGGGAAAACATGCCAAAGTAAAAGAGCTGAACAGAAGATTTCAAAGGGCAGCTTGAGAGGACCAAAAAAAGTATTATAATGGAGAATAGGCATAGATCAATAGTAATTAATTATAAAATCCAATGTATTTGAGCACAGTCCAAACTGGCTGTCTTCGAGGACGATTGGGTGTCGGATGAGAAGGTATGCACAGCTACTGAATGTATCACTTTTGAACCTCCAGGAGAATGTAATAAAGTGTTTAATGATGTCCGCCTACTACTTCATACTGACAATCTTCTTAAGGGAAGGGTTTTCATGCTTTTGCTCAGTATAACATGAATTAGTTCACATCTGTATGATAGAAGGATATGAAGATCAGGTCTTAATTACAGAACACAGTGGCCTGGGTAATAGATTTCTAGACCCAAGAAATAAAAGTTCCTTTAAATGTGATTGCTAACGGAAAGAAGCAAGTGATCTCTAAACAGAGGCACTAGATAGAGGACTATAGTCTTGGGGAGAATCCTGTGGCAGTGTTTAGAGGGCTACTTGAAAGATCACTGTACTTCTGTACTGTTGTGGTGTGCCATCAAGTTGCAATAGACCCGTAGCTGATTTTCTGGCAGGTTTTAAGAGGCAGTCAATTGCATGGGTGAAGATTGCCTATCCTTCCACCAATTTCAACCTAAAACCTTCTGGAATGGTCATTGAAGATCAGAGTGGAAGTTCGCTATCACACCACCTACAGCCCAAGTGGTTGGAGTGCTTAAGATTCAGGTTCACTATTATGAGGATGACAATGTTCAGTTGGTTAGTTGCAAAGATATACATGATTCAACACTTATTTCGAAAGAAGTTCAAATTGCCAAGGAGTTTGTCACAATCATAGAGGATGTAGAGAATGAATATAAGACAACAATTAGTGAAAACTATCAAACAATATCAGACACCATGTTCAAGACCTTGTGCCAGCAGCTTCCAGTTTTACTATTTAAAAGATGTACTGGCTAGGCTTTAAATACAATTTATAATTGACTATATTTGGACTACAGGTATGCTGTCTTCAGAGCCATGGGGCAATTGCACCTCTGGGGATCAGTGGGGCACAGGCTTCCTGTCTGTGCCCCTCACAATTGAGTGGTAGAGTACAAAGAGGGAGGCACGTATCCGTACCATGTCAACCAAACTCAACTAGAACAAGATACTCAGCTACAAGATTGTCAAATAAATGCAGAATACTTAAAGGCTGAATGTAGGATTCTTCAGTAGATGGGAGGAAGAAAAAAAGATTCAACATGTAGTCCAATGATAAAAAATAGGTGGTTTATAAACAAGAATATTTTGCTAGGTCTTTAAAAGTAAACAGATTTTCTATCATGAAATACTGATGAATCTATAACATTGACTGAATTCTTTTATGCTTACTACTTTGAACTATTCTGTTGTAATTTCATCTACCTGTAAATTTTTTTAAAAAAAATATTGCCACATTTAATGTTGGGGAAAGAGATTCATCTTGGAGTTATTGTATTTGTTGGTTCTAAACATGAAGCCTTGTTACTATCCCTCTTTCTTTAGCCCTATTCTTCAAAAAATTTCCGGTACTTCAACAGCTTTTTTTAAATTTTATTTTTATCGTGTGTATGTGTGTGTGTGTGTGTGTGTGTGTACCATCAAATCAGATTTGACTGGTACCGGAGGAGATTGTTTCTTCTTCTCCAGCAAAGCATCTGGTGGATTTGAACCGCACACCTCTGGGATTGCAGTGTAGCTTCTTGCTACAGTAGGCAACCAGAGCTCACCACTTAGAGATCAGCAGCTAAAGAGGCTGTGCTCAAATTAACAGAAGACACATCCTTCTTCCTCCAACTGCTTTGATAATCTGTTAGGGTGGCTCACAACCATAGATTACAACATTTTAGGTTGGAAATTTTCACATTCTTTTGAGGGGCAAAGGAGGTTTTCTGGAAATTCCATCATAGCCAGCTGCTCTGGGGAAGTTGTTTTTAAATCCAAATATTTGAACCACGTGAACACATTTGCCTTTCTTTCATTCCCTCCTCATCTCCTTTCCCATGTTGGACCATTGTAGTTATAGACATCTGCATTTTTAGAAGAGATGAATTTATATTTATTTTACATATTCAAGAACTGCTGACATACTGTGAATGTAGTAGAGTATATATAAGACTTGAAACACACAGATGTTAAAGGAATACGAAGCATATTACGCTTTAATACTTTGTGGTAGGATTTTAGTATAATTAAATTAATTAAAACAATTATGTAAATTGTGTTTCATTCTATTCTTCATTCACATTATGTTTATACAATTATTCAAATGCATTATATTTTATAAAATTAATCATCTAAATACATGTCAAACAAGAATGATATTTGTGCTTTGGCTTTATTTTTTGCTCAGTAATACAGGCAAGGAAGTCTTTCTACATGACATGTTGAGCTATGTAAAAACTTTTTGTTTATCTCAAGTAAAAGATACTTGTTCTTTTAAAATGTACAATGTATATGAGTGATTGTACAAAACACAACACATTGCACTGCAATGCCAAATGTGAGCCATTCAAATCTACCAGATCCTCTGCTGGAGAAGGAGGAACAATCTCCTCCTGTACCAGTCAGATCTGATTTGACAGTACACACACATACAAATAATAAAATTTAAAAAAAACAACCCCACAACACATATGAATAATTGTAGGCAAGTGAATAAACTTTTTTATTATTTAAAAAGATTTACACACAGAATCACTCTTGGATGGTTTTCAGTCATAGAAAGGGAGGGGAAAGAAAATAAAAAAAATAAACATATTATAGATAATTATTAGGGTATAGCAAGGGGAAAACAATATACAATAGGGGATGAGCACAGATGTTGTGTGTTGTAATTAATGTTGTAAATATATATATATATATATATATATATATATATATATATATGAATTATTGAATGAAAAACCAATATAACTTGTAAAACTTCATACAAACTGCAAAAAAAAAATCATTTGCTTATACACCTAAAGAAAACCATTAATGACCTTCAGGTCCTCATCAGTAAAGGGAGAAAGATGGACTGGCTTGTCTTTAAATACAGTTTTTAATTGACTGTATTTGGACTACAGGTATGCTGTCTTCAGAGCCATGAGGCAGTTGCACATCTGGGGGTCAGTGGGGCACAGGTTTCCTGTCTGTGCCCCTCTCAATTGACTAGTACAATACAAGCAGGGAGGCAGGTATTCATACCATGTGAACAACAACAAGCAGCTCATCTACAGGAAGCCCCATGCCTGCATCCTGCCAATTTACAGGATGAAGACAATTTAATGAAAACTTGAATGATGATCCACAAATCTAGTAGAAATAATTTCCCACTAATAAAAGGTCCCATTGGTTCTTTCAAAATTAGTAGATTTGTTTTAACTTTAGGTTGTAGATATTAACAAATTGTCCTTGAGGTTTTTCTGTGTGCATGCATTCTTTTTTTTTTCATTCCTCATAAAGGGATTTAAAAACAAGTCTAAGAGCATTTTATCTAACCTAGCATCATTGTAAAAGACAGTACATAACTTTCTACAACAGGGGAAGCGGGAAAATAAAGAGGAAAACAGGGAGAGGCATTCATATGATACACCATGTGTCACCAGTGCTGTTCAATTTCCAGCACAATCCCATAAGCTTGCCTTGTCCACCCCTTGCCTTAGTTCCTATGACTCTACATGTCCACTCACCTGCCTTTTTTAGCCATCTCATGTCCTTCTCGTCCTTGCCAGTGTACTCGACTTTCACCAGACAAAATCCATACCCACCACAAGAGGATGATGCCAAATTTCATACTCTGGACAGCCAACATGGGTTTCCAAACCCAAATAGTACTCTCCAGAAATGGCAAAGAGATAAAAAGGATGTTCTTTTTCTCTCTTAAGACATTATTGCACTGTTTATTATCAGGAGGATGTTTACTCATGCAAAAAAAAAAAAAATCAACCCACAATATATAATCTGGGAAGCAGGAAAAAGCAATTTCCACTAAACCTACAAATCCTCCTACGTCAGATGCCAGGGATTTTCTGAACTGAGGTTGAATTCCTCAGTCCCTGTGCAACAATTATTTTGCCCAATGTAAATTAGTTCACCATTGAATGTGAATGCGTTAGCAAAGATCATACATTTTCGGGTTCAATGAACAGAAAGATGTAAAACTGGACAAAAGCAATTTCCAAAAAGAAATGTAAGAGGTGGTCAACTAATTCAAATGACATATTAATGAGGGATTCTAGAGATCTATTTTAAGCTTCCAGCTGTTATTATTTGCTTGAACTGAGAGCTGGATTTGGACAACATGAGACACCACCCCCCCCCCACCATGCCTCCTTCCTGTGGCTGAAACAGCAAAGAACAGGACTTGATACTATTTTGTTGTATTTATGGTTGAGGTTAGAAAGGCAACTAAGGAAGAGGATTTTTGTCTTTGTTTTGCATTGAAATAACCAGATTTCCTTATCAGTAGCATTATTCTTATTTGACTTTCCACTTTTAGAAAATGTGTGTGTCTTCAAGCAGATCTCTTCTCAGCAACCACTTTTGACAGAGTAGAACTGCCTCATGGGATTTTTTTTTCTGTAATTTTTACCAGTAACTAAGGGATAAATTTAGCCTCAAATTGTAATACTGAAAGATGTTTTGAGGAAAATCTTGAATGATTCACAAAGTGTCAAAAGAAGTTAGAAAAAGTATACAAGAAAGTGGAAGGAGTCATTGCATAGAAAAAATATTGACTGGCACAGAATCTTTCCATGAAACAGCACATAATCAAGAACCCGTGATGATGATGGCAGAAGTTCAAGTTGCACTGAAAGTATTAACCAAAAAAAAAAAAAAAATAAGGTCCCAGGAATTAGTGTTGACATGTTCCAACAAACAGATGTAGTCCTGGACATGCTCATCAAGCTGTGCCAAGAAATTTGGGAGACAGCTACCTAGTCAACTCACTGAAAGAGATCCATATTTGTTCCCCTTTTCAAAAATGATGATCCAACAAACTAGAAATTATTAAACAACATCATTAATATTACATGCAAGCAAAACTTGCTGAGATATTTCAAAAATGGCTAGAACAATATGTTAACAGAGACCTGCCAGAAATACAAGCTGGGTTGTTGCTGATATAAGATAGATCTTAGTAGAAAGCAGAGGATGCCAGAAGGATGTCTCTGTGTTTTATTGACAACATAAAGGCATTTGACTGTACAGATACAACAAATTATAGCTAACATTGAGAAGAATGAGAATCCCAGAATACTTAATTGTGCTAGTGAGAAACCTATAACAACATTAAGAGGCAGAGCAAGGGAGTGCTGCATGGTTTAAAATTAAGAATGGTGTGCATCGGGGTTATGTATTTTCCCCATACCTATTCAATATGTATGCTGCTAAACAAATCATTTGAGAAGCTGGACTGTATAAAAAAGAATGTAGCATCAGAATTAAAGGAAGACTCATCAACAATCTGCATTATACAGAAGACACAACCCTGCTTACTGAAAGTGAGGAGGATTTAAAGCACTTGCTACAAAAGATCATAGACTACATCCTTCAATATGAATCATATCTCAACATCAAGAAAACAAAAATCCTCACCACTAGGCCAATAGACAATATCTGATAGATGGAGAAAAGACTGAAATTGTCAATGATTTCATCTTACTTCAATCAACACCCTTGGTAGCAGTAGCCAAGAAATCAAAAGATAGCTCACAATGGGAAAATCTGTTCTCAAAAACATCTTCAATGTGCTGAAGAGCAATGATGTCCATTTAAAGATTAAATTAAGCCTGTTCAAGCTATAGTCTTCCCAATTGCTTACTATGGATCTGAAAGTTGAACAAAAGAATCAATAGCTTTGAGTTATAGTTTTGGGGAAGAGTACTGAAAATCTGATGGACTTCCAAAAGAATAAGTAAGTCTGTCTTGTAAAGAGTGTTACCAGGGAGATTCTCGGAGGCAAAGATGGTAAAGCTTGGTCTCACATTCTCACATACTTTGGGCATGATGTTTGAAGAGTTCAGTCCTTGGAGAAGGCATCATGCTTGGAAAGGTGAAGAGTCAACCTAAGAGAAGAAGACTGTCAACGAGATGGATTGACATGGTGATTTTAACAATGGGCTCAAGCATGTTCAGATGGTGAGGATGGCACAAGATAGGGCAAGGTTCCAAACCCCTGTTCATAGAGTCGTTATGAGTCACATTTGACTCAATGGCAAACAACAGCAATTAGCTTGCTACATTTATGAAATCTCTTATCTGTAGATAATGCCCTCCCCCCCCTTTGATACTTGTCTGAAGATACCATTTTTATATCCAGGCTGTTGATCTATATCTTCTACAAAAGACGTTCCTGGAGAAAAGGATTCACCATAGCTGACCCTCCACTGACTTTCTGAGACTGCGAATCACATAGAAGAGTTTGCCTGTATTTCTTTCATGTAGTGACTGGTGGAGTAAACTTACCAGAGAGGTGCAACCACTTAGGTTAGCAGCACAACAGCCTATGCACTATGCCTCCTGAGTAGCAGGTACTATAGAATCAATTCTGACTCATGATGACCTCATATGTGTAATGAGAGCTGTGCTCCGTTTGATTCACAAGGATTTTTTTTTTTAGTAGATTGCCAGGCTTTTCTTCTAAAGTATTTCTGTTGCTGCTATTAGGAGAGACTTGTTGTTTTGTACCATCGAGTCGGAACTGATGCAGAGCTGATCCTCTGGCAGGTTTTCAGAGGCAAGTAATTGCACTGGAGATTACTCATCCTTCTCCCAGAGCAGCTGGTGAATTCGAATCACGTGTCATTAGAAGTGCAGCACAGCTTCTTGATGCTAGCTTCCTTATCTTTCACTATTCTCCTCATCTCTAGTATGTTCAAGGTGCCTCTAAGTGAGTTTAATCCCCAGTCTTTTGGCTAGCAGCTGAGTATATCTGTTTTTACCTCTCAAAGACTTCATAAATAGGTACTTTAAATTACTGCCTATTCAGTGCTAAGCTGACATTATTCCACAGCTTCAATAACTTTCACTCTGTACCAATGTACTGTCAGGCTTTCCCATAACTCTTTTTAGTTGAAAAGCCAACGACTTCATGAACTTGCTAATCTGAGACAAAATAGAACAATAACTAATTACGAAAGACTAGCTAAATTAATGAGGAAAATTTTATTGAGGTTAATTATTTGGAAAATTGTTGATTTATTTGAATGTGGGGTTTTTCTTCTGGGTATACAGGAAGATCTTTCTCTTTCTTCTTATACTATCTGTAACTCACAGTAATTTTATAAATTTTTCTACCTGTAAACAAAACTGAAGTGAGCTCTGGTGGCCTACTGGCAAGAAGCTACACTGCAATCCTGGAGGCATGTGGTTTGAGGCCACCAACTGCTTTGTGGGAAAAGGATGGACAATCTCCTGTGCTATTAACTGCCTCTGTAAACCTTCTAGAGGGTCAACTATGGGTCAGCTCTGACTCTACAGTACACTACAACAGCAAAATAAAATGATACATTTATCAGCATTGGCACAATAGCCTTCTATGAATTCACAAACTCCTTTTTTTTCACAATGTATAAGCAACATTTCCATTCGGGTTGTTCTGCTTTAATTGTTTCCTTGCATTTGCATTCTCATCTAGTTTTAAGGTAATGGTTTACTATTTGGTTTTGCATAGAAGGTGCTTAGTAGCTCTAAACAATTGTTGTGTTGTTGTTGTCATTAATCTAAATTATTAAACCCAACCAGAAGCACAAGAAAAGAAAGGTCTGCCATTTACACCCATAAAGATTACAGAGTGGGAGGGAAGAATCCTATGGAATAGTTCTACTCTGTTATACAAGGGTTTTCTATGAGACAGAATCAATTCCATAGGAAAGGGTTTGAGGTGCTTTTTTTTTAAAAAAAAAAAGTAACGAACTAATAAGCTAGAATTTTTCTCCAAAACAACCCTGTTACTACCATTGTTGTATCCAAAATCAGTCTTCAAATCAAAGTCTGTTTCCTACACAAGAACTAAGGGAAAGACATCTAGATTGCTTACGTAGAACTAAGCCTTGGATAGCAGCTTTAGTTAGAATAAACTTCAAATATTTTAATATACACCCAAAATAATTCTAACTTTTCAAGGAGGTCACTTTCTCTTTCCCATGACATTCCACAGAGAGTATTGCAGAGTCATAGTGTCTAAAACTTAAGTTTCTTCTTCCTAATAGCTCTCCCAGCTCTATAGTGGTACCCTTCTTGGCATTCTCTAAACTAGCTCAATCTGCTCTCCATGTTCCAAGTATTGGCATAAAGAAAGAGATAGAAAAAGGTCACACCCCTTAAAGATACTGATGTGATTTATAAGTTACATCAACAGTTTCACTCATAGCTTTTGGCCAGAATTTAGTATGCTGCTGCACCCAGGGACTAGAAGGTCTAGGAAAAGTCATCTTGATTCTAGGTAGGCCAGGGAAGAACTTTATCATAACAAAACGAAGAATGAGCATAGGGTTCAACAACTCTTACGATGAATGTAACACTTCACCTAAAGAAACAAGTCACAGTTTTCTATGAGTCTAAACAATGTAAAAAGAATACTGATTTATTTAATCAAAAGAAGAGAAATTGAAGCAAGACAATGACTTTAATTTAGAAGACATTGGATTGTAGCTCTCTAGAACACTAAAAGAGAACAGTTTTGGGTATCTGTCATGTTAGCCATGATACCAGACAGTAAACAACAGGTGTGAAAAGGATGTGCTATGTCTTAAGCTGTCCAGGAGATTTTAGTCCAGTCCTGAGAATATTTTCTTTTACTGTCTCCAAAAGAAACATCAAATAAGGATCCAGGAGGGGTGGGAGA